CTAAGGCGACTAAATTGGATCGGGTGATCAGGCAAAGTGATGTGGTTGATTACTTGTCATTGCGTAAGAGGCGACTAACAGGATCGGGTGGTCAGGCTCGCTGACTTGGTTGATGCATGTCATCGATCCCAATCTCCCAATCACTGGATTGCCTGATCCAGACAGATTATTTACAGACCGCCGTCATATAGGTGGAATATTGCTGAGTGCAGCGTTAAACAACAAATAAACAAACAAAACTTGTTATTGTACCCCTTTCCTAGACTCGCACATTTATGGGCATCCCTGGAATATTGTGGCCTAAAACTACAAAATAAATAAATATATATATCATTAAGAACGTGCTTACATGCATTGGACCGATACATAGTGACGGTTACATATGCCTGCCATGCATATTACCCCGATGGTTGTGTTCTTACAGTTACAGTGTAACGTCAGTGTGTAACAGCTACTTATAAGTTTCCAACTTCAAAGAAACGGTCACAACGACCTGCACACCTGTGTCACCGTACACTTCATTTGCAGACAAAGACGATGTCATCATCGTGAACTGTGTGTGACGCTCTGAAGATATTTGCCTCGCTTCCCACGACATGCTAGAGTATATTTATGGCGTCTTTAGTGGTCTTTATACGCCTCGCCCAATATTTTTCTGCTAACCTAATATGACTCCGTATACTGTCACTCAAGACACCATAACGAACTGATTGTGCTGAAAAGTGTACACTATTTGGTTTCTTTATCGCACAACCGGTACAAACGACAGGACCAGTACATATATATATATACTTTTATTCCTCCATAGGAGAGTTACAAGGTATAATATTAAAGATAATTATATGACAATAATTACATTGTCAAAGAACACCACCATATACCACTGTGGTAACGGATTTTCTTAGTAAATTGCGTCCATATATTGAAAACGGTAGAGTCCTCGAATTACACTTCGTGAGTAAGAGCGACTGGTATCTGGATCAGTATCCAAAGGTGGCTTACAGGACAGCAAACAAGCTACAAGATCATAGTCTGATTTGCTGTGGAGTTCAACGCTGATGTCAACGGGACCTATACACACAATGTCACACCATAAGTTCTCTCTTATTGTTTCCTTACTCACACAGTGGCACAGTACGTGAGTCAGTAAGTCATGGTAGTTAATAATGTTCTTTGACGTTGCTTTTTGTAACTCAGTGACTTCCTTTGTAAGCTTTTTTCTCAATACATTTTATTAATAAAGTCACGAACGTGGTTTCTTTTATTATTAATGTCTTTGCGAATCAAAATTAATGATATTTAAACAAAAAACAGTGTCGAATAACGAATTTCTGTGAAATATGAGAGGCGGGTGTTGCAAAATCTAAAATGGCTGTTACTGACGGTATGGTCTCATATTAGGTCAATAACAACCATCTTAGATTTCTACTGACGGTTTGCGGGCTCATATCGGGCTAGTAGTTCTGCTCTCTGATTGGTCAATCTCACTCTGAGGCATAATAACAAGCGATATTAGCATTGTATTGTGCAATTGTAAATATACCACAAGGCTTTGTTGGTTGGTTGGTTGTTTTACGCCGCACTCAGCAATATTCCAGCTATACGACGGCGGTCTGTAAATAATCGAGTCTGGACCAGACCACCCAGTGATTGATATCATGAGCATCGATCCACGCAATTGGGATCGATGACATGCATCAACCAAGTCAGCGAGTCTGACCACCCGATCCCGTTTGTCGCCTTTTACGACAAGCATAGTCGCCTTATACGGCAAGCATGGGTTGCTGAAGACCTTTTCTACCCCAGATCTTCACGGGTATACCATAAGGAATGTACAACATTCACAGATAACGCTATTAGAATATATACTGACGGGGGTCAAATATATATTTATGATTGGGTTCATGATTTCTTAAAAAAATATTTTACGTATGATATACAAAATCCGTCCACCCCACAACCGGTGTTTGATTCCTACACCTACCCTTAAGATTCAAGATTTAACAACAATCTTCCATCCAATAACCCTGTCGAATATAGAAATGTTTGTTGACTAAATTAGCATGGCATGGACTGTTATGACTGACTGAGTATACTTTTACGCCGCTTACAGCAATATTAAAGCAATATTTACGCCAGCGGCTCCCAGACTTCATACATTATAACCACGTGTGGAATCGAACCCGGCCTTCGTCGTGACAAGCGAACGCTTTAACCACTAGGTTACCCCACAGTCCTACTATAGGTAAGGGAGACATTCACAGAGAAGAACTTCTGTGTGTACAGAAGAAGAAACCTCTGTGTGGAGAGTCAGGAGTAGTCTGTCTCCCAGACAGGAGAGAATAAACCGAGAAAGGAGTCCAACTCAAGTCTAGAATGATTGCGCCAGCTAGTTCTGAAATTTAATGTTCTGAGATCCATTTGGACTAAATGTTTTATCTTATTTCTTGGACTAAATGCCAGTCTACAGTAAAGGCAGTCCGGGATATCGACCCTAGCTGCTTGGTCAAGGGGTAGGACTCTGCCTCTTCAAGACCGCCTCCGTGGTCTAGTGGTAGAGCGTCCGTCCGGAGAGCGGAAGGTCCGGGGTTCGATCCCCGGCCGCGTCATACCAAAAGGCGTTAAGAGATGGTACTTGTTGTTACCCTGTCTGGCGCTCGGCATTAAGGGGCTAAAACAAGGACTGGTCGGCTCGGAGTCAGTATACTGTGTCTGAGTAGGGGATTCATGTTAAACTGCGGCATGGTATCTCAGTGAGCTAGCACTATAAATCGGCATCAGTCCGGGCTAGTACAAGCAGCCACACAAACACACACACGTACATGCACGTCGCTATATAAGTGCAATAATCTTGGACGCGACGTTAAACCCCATTTCACCTCACCTCACCTCTGCCTCTTCACACAACCAGTAACATCACACACATCGCCTCTTTCTGGAACCCGGGAACTCCCCTCCCCCGAAGAGCCACACGGTAGTTGCCAATATCATTACAATCAGATCTACTCCTCCGATACGTGACTTCTCTGTGTCACGAAGTATACATCGGTGTATAAAGTCTGATTCTGAGTCAGTTGGGTTTAACGCCGCTTTGAACAGTATTCCAGTTATATCACGCATGTCAGCTTGATGCGGGACGACAGCCCAAAGTGTCTGACCTTTACCACTGTGGTGAATTCACGAGCACGGGTATGGTACTGGGAAACCTTGGAACAGAATCGGGGCGAACCGGGATTCGAACCAACAACCGTTGGTTTCTCGCGGGACCAAGGGACGCAACTCTGCACAGCGATATGTGAAGCCTTACACGACGATAATCGAGTCTGGACCAGGCAGTCCAGTGATTGACATCATGAGCATCGGCCTACGCAATTGGGATACGATGATAATCATCAAGCAATCGCCGAGCCTGACCACCCGATCCCGTCAGTCGCCTTTTCCGACAAGCATAGGTTACCGAAGACCAATTCGAACCCGGAGCTATGGGTGACGTTGCATTATTCCGACTTAAAGGTATTTTAACTGCAATGCACGAGCAATTAAACAAGCAATTAAACATTCTTGAGAATCATCTTGAGTGTCGATAAATATGCAGCTATGTTTCAATGACCTCTAGCGTTAGGGTTAAGGCATGCTGGGTTCAGTGCCACAAATAAATGTGAATAGTTTCTCTTCACAAATCATAGGTTTGACTTATATGCATTTCTTTCTCTGTAAACGCACATGGTTGCTGAATGCGTCACCAGTCGGGCTCATGCTTGGCTGTGTCTTGTAAAGGAAAGCTCGAAATCGGCCGTTGTTGTCCGTAAAAGGATCATCCTTCATGCATAGTGGTTTAATTCTGAACAAACGAATCTTCTCGCGAATGGTATGTGTACGTCAAACTGATAGAACGATGTATTTTTAATTCACTGAAGCGATACGCTTAACGTTAAATAACGTTTAAATGTGTATGCTCCAAAATACGCGTAAAGAAAGTACTGATATTTAGCTGCAGTTTTCTCTTGAGGATCTTGATGATACGTGGATGGTGATTGTGATGTTGATCTTAATCTGGATGATGTTTGTGGTGTTGATATTGTGGATGGTGTTTGTGGTGTTGATAACGTGGATGGTGTTTGTGGTGTTGATGATAACGTGGATGGTGTTTGTGGTGTTGATATTGTGGATGATGTTTGTGGTGTTGATATTGTGGATGGTGTTTGTGGTGTTGATATTGTGGATGATGTTTGTGATGTTGATGATAACGTGGATGGTGTTTGTGGTGTTGATGATAACGTGGATGGTGTTTGTGATGTTGATGATAACGTGGATGGTGTTTGTGGTGTTGATATTGTGGATGATGTTTGTGGTGTTGATATTGTGGATGGTGTTTGTGGTGTTGATATTGTGGATGATGTTTGTGATGTTGATGATAACGTGGATGGTGTTTGTGGTGTTGATAACGTGGATGGTGTTTGTGGTGTTGATAACGTGGATGGTGTTTGTGGTGTTGATGATAACGTGGATGGTGTTTGTGGTGTTGATATTGTGGATGATGTTTGTGGTGTTGATATTGTGGATGGTGTTTGTGGTGTTGATATTGTGGATGATGTTTGTGATGTTGATGATAACGTGGATGGTGTTTGTGGTGTTGATGATAACGTGGATGGTGTTTGTGATGTTGATGATAACGTGGGTGGTGTTTGTGATGTTGATAACGTGGATGGTGTTTGTGGTGTTGATATTGTGGATGATGTTTGTGATGTTGATGATAACGTGGATGGTGTTTGTGGTGTTGATGATAACGTGGATGGTGTTTGGGATGTTGATGATAACGTGGATGGTGTTTGTGGTGTTGATAACATGGATGGTGTTTTTTGTGTTGATAACGAGGATGGTGTTTGTTGTGTTGATAACGTGGATGGTGTTTGTGATGTTGATGATAACGTGGATGGTGTTTGTGATGTTGATGATAACGTGGATGGTGTTTGTGGTGTTAATATTGTGGATGGTGTTTGTGATGTTGATGATAACGTGGATGGTGTTTGTGGTGTTGATATTGTGGATGGTGTTTGTGGTGTTGATAACGTGGATGGTGTTTGTGGTGTTGATAACGTGGATGGTGTTTGTGGTGTTGATAACGTGGATGGTGTTTGTGGTGTTGATAACGTGGATGATGTTTGTGGTGTTGATAACGTGGATGGTGTTTGTGGTGTTGATAACGTGGATGGTGTTTGTGGTGTTGATAACGTGGATGGTGTTTGTGGTGTTGATATTGTGGATGGTGTTTGTGGTGTTGAAAACGTGGATGGTGTTTGTGGTGTTGATAACGTGGATGGTGTTTGTGGTGTTGATAACGTGGATGGTGTTTGTGGTGTTGATAACGTGGATGGTGTTTGTGGTGTTGTTGATAACGTGGATGGTGTTTGTGGTGTTGATGATAACGTGGATGGTGTTTGTGGTGTTGTTGATAACGTGGATGGTGTTTGTGATGTTGATAACGTGGATGGTGTTTGTGATGTTGATGATAACGTGGATGGTGTTTGTGGTGTTAATATTGTGGATGGTGTTTGTGATGTTGATGATAACGTGGATGGTGTTTGTGGTGTTGATAACGTGGATGGTGTTTGTGGTGTTGATGATAATGTGGATGATATTTGTGATGTTGATGATACCGTGGATGATGTTTGTGATGTTGATGTAAACGTGGGTGATGTTTGTGATGTTGATGTTAACGTGGATGGTGTTTGTGGTGTTGATAACGTTGATGATGTTTGTGATGTTGATAACGTGTGTGATGTTTGTGATACTGACGTGGATAATCCTTATTGTTACACAAACACCGGATGCATGATATGTGAATATATCTTTGAATTGTCACTTTACCTAACAAATTAGGAACTCTCCATTCAACAGTCATCGACGAAGTATGGAAGGTTATAAAGGTAATAAACACATGCTCTGTGTTGAAAACGCGAATTAACTTGCGTCGAAATCCTTATGGGTCATGACGCGTCCAGATGGAGTGATGATTAGGATTTTAAGAACGCTTCTATCGATTGCTATGCGCATACACCAAACACAATGACGGTTGCTAAGATAAATAACTATTCATAACTGATTATTCAAAGTGGTAAGATGTAAACCTTGCACACATTCCAAAATAGAGGGGCCGAATGTCTATCGCGCGCTTACTCATACCTGTGTTCAATACAAATGGAGGTTATGATAATGATGTAATACTTTATCCAACTGTGAACGCGGCAGTTACAATCAGTTTGTCACAAACAAATATCTTTATGCCACTGACATTGACGTTACTAAAAAATAACGTTTCCTGTTTGTACACATCAGGCAAAATCAACACTTCCTCGTTTGATCCTGATCTGGGGTTTGTCTGGGAGAATTGGACGGTTCCGCATGTCCCTGTGTGGAGCCGTGGGATTAGCACCAGAGTTCTAATATCCTGTGAGGAGTTTTCAAACTGCCGCGTAATTAACTGATGTTGACGTCTGAGCCGTCCATGACCTCGGGCCCCGGAGCGTTTAATTAAAACATCTTGTCATTTCCTTTGAATGTCAATGAAAGTTGTTTTCCAAAAATACAAACACGTGGTTTTAATTCTGTTCTTTAATCATACTTCATTCATATAATTAATCATCATATAATAATGATATATTTGTCTTTGACTTTATCATAATTCATAATTTCTATACTATCGACCATATCCCCATTCATGTTCCTGCTGTTGTTATTCTATATCAAACAATGCACAAATATTTTTTTCCTTTACATCATTTAAAAAGATAACTTTCCCTAACATCGAAAAGGTTTAAAATAAATGCTTCTGACAATGAATGAAGTTGACAATGCAATTCCAAATCAACAGTAGTGAAGTTGGTAATGTTTTAACACTCATGATTATACACCATATATAGAATGAGTGAGTGAGTTAGGTTTTGCGCCGCTTTTAACAGTATTTCGGTTATATCACGGCATGTCAGCTTTTAAATGTGGGAGGAAAGCCCGAAGTGATGCAGGTCTCAGACGTTTACCACTTCGATCAAACCCACGAGCACGGGTATGGTGCTGACAAACCTAGAAACATAATCGGGGGGAACCGGGATTCGAACCCACAATCATAGGTTACTGGCGTGCCCAAGGGACACAACTCCGCACAGCGAATCGCGGCGCCTAAGACGACTGATATAATTTTCTAACGTTCCGAATTATTTCTAAACCGCCCGTGCTATAATTTCCCCTGGTCTTTTATCATTACTCGTGTGTGTACTAAATTACTTTTCTGTTAGGTAAAATTACCTTATATACATACTTACCTTGTCCAGTTAATCATTTGCTATTATACTTAATCTCTCCATCATACAATGAGTCGAGCAAACGTGAAGATTTATTGTTCTGCCGTGATATCATCGTGGAGTGTGGTTGTTCCAATGTAATTTCTGGACAACGGTCACTCCACAACAACATACATGAAAGCTTTGAGATCTCCTGAATAATATATACCTGACAGCACTCAGGTCATTCAAAGATTTTATAGCCTCATCTACCAATTTATCGCCATGTTTATGGTACTTGATGTGGTTGTGGCTTCTTGAGACGGACACTATATATTTTCATGAGCGACAAACTACCTCTCGTGAATGCTCTATAACCGCTTGTTTAATACGCCAAGAAGAAAAGGTTTACTAAAAAACGAAGATTTGGTCTACAAACTCCTCGTCAAACAGGTAGGTTTGTTGTTTAACGCCGCACTCAGCAATATTCCAGCTATATGATGGCGGTCTGTAAATAATCGAGTCTGGACCAGACAATCCAGTGATTGATATCATGAGCATCGATCCACGTAATTGGGATCGATGACATGCATCAACCAAGTCAGCGAGCCTGACCACCCGATCCCGTTAGTCGCCTTTTACGACAAGCATAGTCCCCTTTTACGGCAAGCATGGGTTGCTGAAGACCTATTCTACCCCGGAATCTTCACGGGTCTCTCGTCAAACAAATTCAAACATATGAAAAGCGTGTGTACCGTGGAATGTTTTTCTTTCTTTCTGACTAAATAGATCCTATCGATATCCTCTAGGTGGTGAAAAGTGTATGCCAAAATGACATGTAAAATTATTCTATTGCACATTATCATTTTTACTTGCTTTATATCAGTAACAAATCGACATCGAAACGTTCCCAAAAAATATAATAAAGAGGTTGTTCCATAGAAGTTCTATAAACGCCGCTCAAACATCTTTACTGTTGAATACTTGTCATAGATGAGGCTGCCATCATGATATCATGAGCATCGATCTACACAATTGGGACACAATGACATGCATAAACCAAGTCAGCGAGCCTGATTATCCGATCCCGTTAGTCACCTCCTACGACAAACATAGTTGCATAGATCAGCATGAACCCTTTTTTATTTGTTGTGTAACGCCACACCAGACAATCCAATGATTGACATCATGAGCATCGATCTACGCAAATGGGATACGAAGATATGCATCAACCAAGTCAGCGAGCCTGACTATCCGATCCCGTTAGTCGCCTGCTACGACAAGGGTCTATTTAGAGGTGACACCCTCATTTATTGTGAATGTTCTGATGGGAAACGAGTACCTTATTATAAACTTTCCTCCTCTTTTTTCAAAAACCGTAATTACCTTGTCGACTGGTGGCAAAAATATACTCCGAAAATCACTATTTTTTTCATTACGTTGAAAGTAAACTTACGTGATCACCACAGAAAATTAAAACAAGGTTAAACACAATATTTGTTCTATAGCTTAAACGACATTATATATACATTACATATATATACATTATATATATATATATATACTGACCAATCATTTGACCACCCATATACAGATTTTTGCATCTTAAAACGGTGACAACGATTCCGACGGACCAATACCCGACGCGGCCTGGGTTCGAACCACCGACCTTCTCTTTCCAGGCAGACACATTATGCACTGGGCCACGGAGGCGATCTTCGGCTTATAATGACAGGTGGTGAGGTGAAATGGGGTTAAACGTCGCGTCCAAGATTATTGCTCTTACAAAGTGACGTGTGAGTCAGTGAGTTTGGTTTTGCGCCGCTTTTAGCAATATTCCAACAATAACACGGCGGGGGGCACCAGAAATTGGCTTCACACATTGTACCCATGTCGGGATTCGAACCCGGGTCTTCGGCGTGACGAGCGAACGTTTTAACCACTAGGCTACCCGGTCGCCCCCCTCTGTGTATGTGTGTGTGTGTGTGTGTGTGTGTGTGTTTGTTCGGACTGATGCTGATTTTATAGTGCTAGCCCACTGAGATACCATGCCGCAGTTTAACATAGATACCCAACTCAGACACACCATACCGACTCCTAGCCAACCAGTCCTTGTTTTATCCCTTAATGCCGGGTGCCAGGCACGGTAACAACAAGTACCATCTTTTAACGTCTTTGGTATAACGCGGCCGTGAATCGAACCTTGGACCTTCAGCTCTCTGGGTGGACGCTATACCACTAGACCACGGGTGCGGTTTTAATGACAGAATATGGGAAAAAGTTTATACAAATATATATCTTCATTTGACACCCTGAGTGTATAGTATAAATTCAAAGGTGTATTCGTCTGTCGGTACACATTTATCGTGTTATGAAATTACAGTTATAACAAGTGTTGTTCTATGAATACCAGTCTCAAAAACAAATCCCGGAATTTGTCTGATGATTATCAACATTTTGAAGAACGTCTCACGACAGTAGTGACATCATCAAAGATTTATAAGCAACCTTTCTATATGCATCTTTAATGTTGATTTATACTGGTTAAAAGTCACGATTTTTTACATGAAATTTCTATGACGTGAATCGATCCTACAACCTCACATATGTATTGTAACCCACCGTTTTCCCACAGAGCCACCAGGGCAGGTGATGAAAGAGTGTTCAATCTTACATGTGATGACTTCAGTTGTCTACATGATGCACATGGTCTTTCTCCCGTCGTTTTATACCGCGGTACACTGTATTGTTTAACTATAAGGTGTCTCGATGTTTTTAAAAATATATTTTTGCTGGTAATTTCTTGCATTTGGACGGGTCATCACGGAGTACAAACACGACATCGAGGCTTGGAACAACCTCGAGCGAGGGAAAAACCCGACGACCGACCAATTCAGAGTAGTATTTTAACGATAACGTATGTACCTACCCTCCACGCCCACACACACGCACTAGCTCAGATGATCCATGGAAATTCATTCTGTCATCGACAAGGAAGGAATGAAACAAAACTTATTTTTATCGAACATTAGTCGAGTCAGGATTCTCTAGTCTTGGGTTCGAAACCAGGATTTGCCACCATTATTGTCCTTGGTTAGACCCGTGAAGATTCCGGGTTAGAATAATTCTTCAGCAACCCACGCTTGCCGTAAAAGGGGACTATGCTTGTCGTAAAAGGCGACTAACTGGATCGGGTGGTCAGACTCGCTGACTTGGTTGATGCATGTCATCGATCCCAATTGCGTGGATCGATGCTCATATCAATCACTGGATTGTCTGGTCCAGACTCGATTATTTACAGACCGCCGTCATATAGCTGGAATATTGCTGAGTGCGGCGTTAAACAACAAACCAACCAACCAACCTTGGTTAGTCAGCACAAACCCGTCCGTGCCCTCTGGTTCACCATGCAAATTGTTGGGCATTTCTCACACGATGTGATATAACCGAAATACTGTACAAAGTCCCCAATATCCCGGTTCACACATTCTTTCAACACTGATTCTTAATTATTAGAATATCTGAATTCCGTGATTGCTGACATCGTGCATATTTGACAAATTATTACATATTTTCTTAATCAACTTTTGTATTCGAAGCAAAAAAGAAATCTTAACGTGAACTTTAATATTGGTACAAAGTTATTATTTGCACCTTATTCGCCTTATTAATACATTTACATTGAATTTAATTTGGTGCAATTATCCTATTAATGGAATCTACTTATTGATTCCGTAGCCCTGAGCTACATTTTCACCAGTGGGAGTGACACCTCGGTTTTTTGCATCGAGTCTCATTTGAAGTGAATTTCTCATAATGACTGATCATCGCACGTACGCAAGGTCGCCACGTCCCGCACTTGCCAATCGACATGTTCTGTTTATTTCACGTAAATTTTTTTTTTTAAAATTGTGTGTCTTTCTTTCCGAACTGCGTGACTGCCAACACGTCGACCGAAGTCTTATCAACGTGGAATACCGCACGTCCCTAAATAGCACAGGGAAACACCTCAATATTACGACCAATCAGATTCAACCACATTACCAAAGTCAATGTCACGTAGAGTTCACGGTCACTTCGGCGATATCAACAACGGTACCCACGTGTAGATTCCCACAATTTCGGCAATCATATGTCAACTAAAGACGTGGCACTTTCTAACGTACCCAAAGAACACTACAAGCGAGGTAACAAACTTGTCATTCTGTCACTGTCTCGCAGGCTGCGCGTGGGGTTGTTGTTCAAACCTGTCCGTGTTTACACTGACAGGCTCGGTTACCTGAAGTGACCCAACGTTATACAGATCTGATGCCACTTAGCTGAAATATTGTAAATAATATATTTATGCACCGGTCCTCTGTGTAGATTGCGGAATAGTTATCGAATCAAGGATGGCGGAACGCTCTGTATACACCATCGTGTTAGGCCTATTCGCTTTATTTGGGTTCTCGCATCTTCTAAGTGAACAAGTTTTCCCAGATCGCAGCAAGCCGCCCGGATTAAATGATCGGCTGAAACTATGGTGGGCTAAAGAGGTCACTCCAGATTTCCACGTGGCAGGGCGACTCTCCGAACGCCAGATAAAGTATGCTTCAGAGGGAGGTTTCAAAAGCATACTCTCTCTTTTCAAGTATGCCGACAACGAGCCGGGAGATTTCGGGGGTGACTATCTACCCACAACTAAACAATCCAGAGAAATTGCGGAAGAGCAATGTGGCATGCAGTTTGAGGCGCTGTTGTCGCCTGAGGAAGACTGGTGTAGTGTTGATGCGGTTAAAAAGTTAGCTGCAGTTTTACCAAAGTTGAAGAAACCTGTTCTTCTTCACTGTGATCGGGGATACACAATTACGTTTGTTCTTCTCATGCATCTAGCAAACCTTACCGCCGTTGATCCATCATTTGAACCAAGGATTGACAGTTCTAGATTTTATGAAATCACTGCCAGAATGGGTCTGGATTTCAGCATGGATTTTACCAAAGAAGTTGTTGCCGAAATTACAGGGGAGCCCATGGTCAAGAACCCCACTGTGACGAACGCTGAACCCGAGTATTGGTTGGACTACTGGTTAGGGCACCCTGTGTACAAAAATTGGTACACGGCCGGACAGATTACCAAATCTCACATTGAGGTGTTGGAGTTCACTGGGTTCAAGTCGGTGATTAACGTGCGAGCTGGCTTCCAACTAGAGGGGAAGCCAAGTCAAGAAGAGGTGAATCTTTTAAACATCCCAGAAAAAACAGGAACATATGCCAAGGGTGATAGCAAACCTCGACAACATATCGAACGTCTGGAGGAAACGCGAGTTGACCCCAACAAACCTAACAGTTATATCGGACAAGATTCTAAGACAAATTATGAAAGTTCTAATGCGGATGAATTTGGTGATTCAGTTGGTTTTAATGCGGATATTGAGAAGAAAGCATTTGCGAAGACAAAACTGAAGCACTATCACATGCCTGTGTGTAAGTATTCACATATGTATGTGCACCCATACATCTTACATAGCTCTACCCAGTGGACACAAGGGGTTAGAACAGGTCCCCAGTATTCTGTTGCTTGTTGTCAGAGCTGATATGGACTGTTTGATTGCTTGTCATCGTACCCGCATGGAATATTGCTTATCAATCACTCGTACATTTGTCCCAGACGTGATCATTTACTGGTCGCCATGAAACCGTATTCGATGTAATAAGCGCCCATGGCGATATTTGCTAATATATTGGCTAGTGAACAATTCCAATTAGCACCCCTTCTGATTGATCAATGTACACAAGACTTGTTTATTTGTGTATAATACGCACACGTGTGTTATATGCACCCATAATTATGGGCAATTAATTTCTGGAAAATATATCTGTCGTGTTTGATACGCACAGACTTTTCTTTTGTATCATTTCAGGCTGTCAGCATAAATCATGAAGTTTACGATCTTTCAACTCTGTTTTCTTTCTCACCAAAATTATATTCTAATAAGCCTAATAATATTCTGATAAGAGCCCCCTATATCTAATTTTGAGAGCGCCCTGGGCGCTTATTACGTCGAATACGGTAGTTGAATTTTTTCTAGGTGAAGCATGCAGCAAACTATACATAGTTTGGGTGCTTAGCTTTGAACTTCTACAGCAACATTCCCACAATGATCACTAAGCATGCTAAGTGTATTTGTTGTTTTATGTCAGTTAGCAATATTCCAGTTAATAATATGAGCTGTCTGTATCCAGTAAACTACTGTGTCTGGGTCAGGCAAACAAATGGTCGACATCATGAGCAACCTCCAATGGTACAGGGACACAAACGCCCAAGTAACCGAGCCTCATACCTAGAATGGTTTGCTTTTACACAATGTGGTATTGGGGACCTCTTCTAATGTGTATTACACACATCACACACATCAAACCCAGTCACCATCACACACATAACTCCCTAGTCACCATCACACACATTCAGCCTGCTAGTCCATGCATCACACACATTCAGCCTGCTAGTCCATGCATCACACACATTCAGCCTGCTAGCCCATGCATCACACACGTTCAGCCTGCTAGCCCATGCATCACACACATTCAGCCTGCTAGTCCATGCATCACACACATTCAGCCTGCCAGCCCATGCATCACACACATTCAGCCTGCTAGTCCGTGCATCACACACATTCAGCCTGCTAGCCCATCCATCCCACACATTCAGCCTGCTATCCCATGCATCACACACACTCAGCCTGCTATCCCATGCATCACACACACTCAGCCTGCTAGCCCATGCATCACACACATTCAGCCTGCTAGCCCATGCATCACACACATTCAGCCTGCTAGCCCATCCATCCCACACATTCAGCCTGCTATCCCATGCATCACACACACTCAGCCTGCTAGCCCATGCATCACACACATTCAGCCTGCTAGTCCATGCATCACACACATTCAGCCTACTAGCCCATGCATCACACACATTCAACCTGCTAGCCCATGCATCACACACATTCAACCTGCTAGCCCATGCATCACACACATTCAGCCTGCTAGCCCATGCATCACACACATTCAGCCTGCTAGTCCATGCATCACACACATTCAGCCTGCTAGCCCATGCATCACACACATTCAGCCTGCTAGTCCATGCATCACACACATTCAGCCTGCTAGCCCATCCATCACACACATTCAGCGTACTAGTCCATGCATCACAAACATTCAGCCTGCTAGCCCATGCATCACACACATTCAGCCTGCTAGTCCATGCATCACACACATTCAGCCTGCTAGCCCATGCATCACACACATTCAGCTTACTAGTCCATGCATCACACACATTCAGCCTGCTAGCCCATGCATCACACACATTCAGCCTGCTAGCCCATGCATCACACACATTCAACCTGCTAGCCCATGCATCACACCCATTCAACCTGCTAGCCCATGCATCACACACATTCAGCCTGCTAGCCCATGCATCACACACATTCAGCCTGCTAGTCCATGCATCACACACATTCAGCCTGCTAGCCCATCAATCACACACATTCAGCCTACTAGTCCATGCATCACACACATTCAGCCTGCTAGCCCATGCATCACACACATTCAGCCTGCTAGCCCATGCATCACACACACAACCCCCAGTCACCATCACACACATTCAGCCTACTAGTCCATGCACCACACACATTCAGCCTGCTAGCCCATGCATCACACACATTCAGCCTGCTAGCCCATGCATCACACACATTCAGCCTGCTAGCCCATGCATCACACACATTCAGCCTGCTAGCCCATGCATCACACACATTCAGCCTGCTAGCCCATGCATCACACACATTCAGCCTGCTAGCCCATGCATCACACACACAACCCCCAGTCACCATCACACACATTCAGCCTGCTAGCCCATGCATCACACACATTCAGCCTGCTAGCCCATGCATCACACACATTAAGCCTGCTAGCCCATGCATCACACACATTCAACCTGCTATCCCATGCATCACACACATTCAGCCTGCTAGCCCATGCATCACATACATTCAGCCTGCTAGCCCATGCATCACACACATTCAGCCTGCTAGCCCATGCATCACACACATTCAACCTGCTAGCCCATGCATCACATACATTCAGCCTGCTAGCCCATGCATCACACACATTCAGCCTGCTAGCCCATGCATCACACACATTCAGCCTGCTAGCCCATGCATCACACACATTCAGCCTGCTAGCCCATGCATCACACACACAACCCCTAGTCACCATCACACACATTCAGCCTACTAGTCCATGCATCACACACATTCAGCCTGCTAGCCCATGCATCACACACATTCAGCCTACTAGTCCATGCATCACACACATTCAGCCTGCTAGTCCATGCATCACACACATTCAGCCTGCTAGCCCATGCATCACACACATTCAGCCTGCTAGCCCATGCATCACATACATTCAGCCTGCTAGCTCACGCATCACACACATTCAGCCTGCTTACCCATGCATCACACACATTCAGCCTGCTAGCCCATGCATCACACACACAACCCCCAGTCACCATCACACACATTCAACCTGCTAACCCATGCATTACACACATTCAGCCTGCTAGCCCATGCATCACACACACAACCCGCAGTCACCATCACACACATTCAACCTGCTAACCCATGCATTACACACATTCAGCCTGCTAGCCCATGCATCACACACATTCAGCCTGCTAGCCCATGCATCACACACATTCAGCCTGCTAGCCCATGCATCACACACATTCAGCCTGCTAGCTCACGCATCACACACATTCAGCCTGCTAGCCCATGCATCACACACATTCAGCCTGCTAGCCCATGCATCACACACATTCAGCCTACTAGTCCATGCATCACACACATTCAGCCTGCTAGCCCATGCATCACATACATTCAGCCTGCTAGCCCATGCATCACACACATTCAGCCTGCTAGCCCATGCATCACACACATTCAGCCTGCTAGCCCATGCATCACACACATTCAGCCTGCTAGCCCATGCATCACACACATTCAGCCTGCTAGCCCATGCATCACACACATGCAGCCTGCTAGCCCATGCATCACACACACAACCCCCTAGTCACCATCACACACATTCAGCCTGCTAGCCCATACATCACACACATTCAGCCTGCTAGCCCATGCATCACACACATTCAGCCTGCTAGCCCATGCATCACACACACAACCCCCTAGTCACCATCACACACATTCAGCCTGGTAGCCCATACATCACACACATTCAGCCTGCTAGTCCATGCATCACACACATTCAGCCTGCTAGCCCATGCATCACACACATTCAGCCTGCTAGCCCATGCATCACATACATTCAGCCTGCTAGCCCATGCATCACACACACAACCCCCAGTCACCATCACACACATTCAGCCTACTAGTCCATGCATCACACACATTCAGCCTGCTAGCCCATGCATCACACACATTCAGCCTGCTAGCCCATGCATCACACACATTCAGCCTACTAGTCCATGCATCACACACATTCAGCCTGCTAGTCCATGCATCACACACATTCAGCCTACTAGCCCATGCATCACACACATTAAGCCTGCTAGCCCATGCATCACACACATTAAGCCTGCTAGTCCATGCATCACACACATTCAGCCTACTAGTCCATGCATCACACACATTCAGCCTACTAGTCCATGCATCACACACATTCAACCTGCTAGCCAATGCATCACACACATTCAGCCTGCTAGTCCATGCATCACACACATTCAGCCTACTAGTCCATGCATCACACACATTCAACCTGCTAGCCAATGCATCACACACATTCAGCCTGCTAGCCCATGCATCACACACATTCAGCCTGCTAGCCAATGCATCACACACACAACCCCCTAGTCACCATCACACACATTCAGCCTGCTAGCCCATGCATCACACACATTCAGCCTGCTAGCTCATGCATCACACACATTCAGCCTGCTAGTCCATGCATCACACACATTCAGCCTGCTAGCCCATGCATCACACACATTCAGCCTGCTAGCTCATGCATCACACACATTCAGCCTGCTAGTCCATGCATCACACACATTCAGCCTGCTAGCCCATGCATCACACACATTCAGCCTGCTAGCCCATGCATCACACACATTCAGCCTGCTAGCTCATGCATCACACACATTCAGCCTACTAGTCCATGCATCACACACATTCAGCCTGCTAGCCCATGCATCACACACATTCAGCCTGCTAGCCCATGCATCACACACATTCAGCCTGCTAGCCCATGCATCACACACACAACCCCCAGTCACCATCACACACATTCAACCTGCTAGTCCATGCATCACACACATTCAGCCTGCTAGCCCATGCATCACACACATTCAGCCTGCTAGCCCATGCATCACACACATTCAACCTGCTAGGCCATGCATCACACACATTCAGCCTGCTAGCCCA